GTCCCCCACACAAAAAAAACAACCCCCTGCCACTCAGAGATACAAGTCTGTGAGTAGTTTCTTTTACAGCTTTTCTTGGCATCAGTGGCAGCACAGGCCCTCACCACACATTGGCTCCATTTACCTCTGCCTTCTTCGCCCAGTGCAGTGGAATGCCTTCGTAGTGTGGGTCCTTGGAGCACACCTGGCTGGCATCTGCCTCAAGGATGGCCTGGGCACACCTGGCAAAGACAAAGAGATGACAGGATGGGTGACTGCTGTCTCAGCTCAAGACCTCCACTCGCATCAGCTCTGGTCTTCCGCCCAGAGGAAAACCAGGAAACCCTCCAGCAGCAGCTGCAGTAGGGTCTCTGCAACACCTGCAAGTTCCTCAGCTGCACTTTTGTTTTGCTCTTCCTGGAAAGGGTGGGGGCAGCAGGAAGCACAGAAGCAGTACAGCAGGAGAATCCCTTCCCAGTTTAAAGCTGTGGAGCAACAGCTGAACGCTTCTCTAAAACAGAAATATGGCTTTTCTGGAGGCTCTGAAAACCTAAACTCAGTGACCTAAGCACATTTTGGGCTTGTGAATGTGTCTCTAATGTTGGGAAGCACTTTTCAAAATGCTGAAATATCATCTAGCAGAAGCTATTGTTGGCTTGAGAGCTCTTTCTGTAGAGCTTGGACACTCTATTAACATTAAGTATTATGAAGTATATAGAAAGGGAATCATATTTCTCCAGGGAAAACAAAACAGGGAGCAAGCATTGTGTCTCTTTTGTTTCAGTTCCAGAGTGTACTATTAAGAGCCAAGAAAACCTCTGGCCTACAGGAGATGGGAAAACTAGGCTTTGCAATGAAAGCTTATTAGGACAAGAGCACTCACAGACAGAAGTGCAGCAATTAACAATACTGTTTAAGCATCAGTAAATCATCATCCCTCAGCTTATTCTGAGAAAAAGTATTTCACAAACACCTTTTTTTTTTAAAATCTGTGTCTTTTACCTGATATCTACTACTGAATAATATATTAATGCAGTGGAAAAAAATGTACATTTTCTGAAAGCATTTCCTTCTTTCCCAAGCTAGGACTTCCCTGCTCTTTTGCCAATTCGGTGATGCAGCAGAAAAATGCACAAGACATTTTCCTACTGAGCACAGCCCTGAAAGGGGTCCAAGACTTGGACAACGCTGAGCAAGCACACAGATTCCCAGACTGGAGGGAGAGCCATGTGCTGGCAGCCCACATGATTACACACCCCTTCTGGGAGAACTTCAGTGCTGTGTGGATGGGGCAGCCCAGCGTGCCCACGACGCTGCAGTTGGCATGGCACTTCAGCAGGGACCGGACCATGTCCTCTTTGCCCAGCTGGCACGCGAGGTGCAGAGCAGTCAGCCCTTCATGATTCAGGTGGTCCAAGCCAGCAGTTGGGGTTCTGCCCAGGAGCTGGAAAGAGGAGACAGGAGATAAACAGACACATAGACATGGAAGAGCACTGTCTCTCTTCCTAAGTTCTGAGGACAGACTCTGGAGCACTAGGTTCCTCATGATGCTACTGCCTATCCCTCTCCACTCTTCCCTCCAACACAGTAGCTATGGAAGCACTCCTTGTTTTCTCTCTCCAGAGGGTTTATTACTGCTCTCTGTGCCCTCTTCCTTTGGTCCAGGTGCTTCTGAGAGACTCCTCAGCCAAAAAGAGCTCACACCACCTTGACTGGCATGGCCCAGCAGCCTCTCACCATCTCCCACTGCATAAGCCAAGCTCAGCCCAACTGAATGAAAGCATCAGCTGAAACCAGCAGCTCTCTCTCCTCCTGTAGCCCCACCGTCAGTCACCATGGCCACTCAGCCGGCAGGAGCTCAACCTCCCCTCCAACCCCACCATTGCTTTTGGATTCAAACAAGATTCTGTTTGAAATGTGCACGTAGGGATATGTTTGAGGGAATTTTCTCATTCTCGCTGTAAATTTTAGGCCTGTTACCTGCTAAGTGGATTCTACACAAAAACATCCCACTGCTGTACTGGGGAAACCCTGCAAGCCTTGGTGCACACACAAAAAAAGTGGGAATTTAGTTTCTTTTCTCTGGTTTAGCAAGGAATTAATAGAGAAAAGAAAGAGATGAGACCTGGGAGTATTTCTGTAACAGTAAGCCAAGTTGATGGCATCAGAGAAACAAAGAGGATATCTTTTTAATACAAAGTTCCTAACTGCTCTGCTCCACAACATATCAAGCCATGATCATCATCCCTCCCCCATCATACATTGGGAAACTCCAGCACAGTCTGGCAGGCAGAGGGAGAGCTGTCACAACACGTATTGGGCAAGCACAGGGGGTACAGCCATAGGGGAGAGTCGGTTTCGCGCTCACACTGAGTGCTGGGGAGCCAAGAGACCTCAGACATCATGTGAAGGCCACCCACACCCTTACAAACCCCATTGCTTTGCCCAGCACTTATCAGCAATCAACAACACCTCTAGCTTCAGACTGTTTCTCCTCGAGGCTGATTGCTGTCCCCCATGCAAGGCCACTCAGTTCAAACAACAAGTCCTACAGCCCAGGAGAACCCAGGGCAGCTCCAAACCATCCTTCAGTCTGTGGGCAACACACACTCCTCCATAGCAACCTGAACACACACTGCCCTATGGGCACACTATGCCTGAAAGCGAACACCCTGCTCGGATGAGGGAGGGAAGGGACTGCCAAAGGCCTGCGGAAAGGCAGGGTGAAGGCCTGATGCACACAGCAGTCACAGAAAGGGTAAGGTTGGAAGGGACCACACTGGGTCATCTGGTCCAACCTCCCTGCTTAAGCAGGGTCATCCCAGAGCACAAGGCATAGAGGGCTGAAGGACACCTTCTGAGGAAAGTGGTTTAATATCCTTGTTCCAGTGCAGGTGGAATCTGGAGACTCCTTATGGGAAACAGCACCAGTAAAGAGGGGAAAAGAGGCTGAAATCAGCCTCAAGCACTAACTCAACAGAGGGAACTGACTTTCTCCTCCCCGTCTGCACCTGTTTTCCTGTCTCTTTCCTTATAGTATAGAGAGGACCTAATCTCACTTTCCACAAGACCAGAAATTGCTCCCACCTCAATGATCTGGGGGTTGTTTCCTCGCACAGCATAGTGGAAAACAGTCTCCCCGTTCCTGTCGGTGATGTCCACCCGCGCGTGGCACTCCAGCAGCTCCAGCAGGCATTCCATGTCTCCCTTGCGGCATGCCAGGTGCAGTGGGGTGCAGCCATCCTCACTGTCCGTGCTGTTCACACAGCTGCAAGAGATGAGTCAGTGTGAGCCCAAGGAACAGCTGCAAGGAGGAGGAGGAGGACATGCTCCAGGAGCTGATATGGAGGTACTTCCATATCTGTGCAGGAACATCTGGTGTAAAGCACAAAGTTCACAAAAGCTCAGCTCCTTGCCAGGGAAGGAGTACAGGGGAGGGCCATCAAGCAGTCCTGTCCTGGATTCTCTCCCTGACAGAGGCTCCTTCCTCTGCCCTCCATATGGGATCAACTCCCCCTGCTCAAAGGAAGGCAGGAGACAGGTTAGTCAGCAACCTGGTAGTGCTGCTGCCATTACCTCTCCAGACCCCTAAATCCTCACTAGTCTTCAGTGAACTTCCCCATGGAAACAGAGCAACAACTTGTGGCCAAAAACTGTTTCCAGACAGTCTTACTGTACCCTTATGGTTTAAGGGTGTCAGCCACAACCCCCTCCAAAAAGCAGCTCCACGAGGGTTGCAATAATCTAATATAAGCAAGACTCTTCAATTCTTTACCTCAAACACCACAGCTCCACTGTCTGCAGCAGCAGGTTGAAACCCACCAAACAGCTCACACAGTGACCACTGGAGATCTCTGCACACCACGTGTCCCTGGGGCAGGACACAGCAAAGCCCTACACTTTTGATTTGCCCCTGCAGGAATCACGAGCACTAAGCTCCTCCAAGTAGCAGCTCCTGTTGCCTTGGCACACCAAGATGGGATCATCCGATAGGGCCCAGCCAGCCCTCCCGAGCTCCCTCCCAGCCCTGGAGCCCCCAGCCCCTTGCCTCTGGACGTGGTTGTGCCGGAAGGTCTCGCGGCGGCCGATCTCCACGGCCAGGGGTGCCGAGGACCAGCCGGGGTGGCTGCGCACACAGTCGCTGAGCTGCTGGAGGTCCTCCAGCGACAAGGGCTGGCTCGAGCTCTCGTAGAAAGGTCGCAGCTGCCGGGCAAACTGCTCAAAGTGCACCAAGGCATCGGCCTCATTATCCAGCTGGAAGAGCCTGGAGGAAAGACAAACATGGGGCTAGTCCTGCTCAAAGAAACAACCTCAGTCCCACATATCTGAGAGAAACTGCTCTTCTCCAAACAGTAGTGCTGAGAACTTTCCTACTCTTCCTCAACGGGTGCTATGCTTGTTCCAATGGAAGCAGGGAGAATACTTCACTAGGAGAGAGCATCTTCCCTTCCTGAAGAATATTAGGTTATCATAGAATTTTAGGGGCTGGAATGGACCTTACAGATCACCTAGTCCCACCCCCCTGCCATGGACAGCGACACCTCCCCACTAGACCAGGTCGTTCAAGGCTTCATCCAACCTGGCTTTGGTCTGAAGTATCCTATGCTCCAGATGCTGAATCAGCAACAGGTACGAGTGAAAGTACACGCACCTATGGATGTTCTGAACGACTTGTTTCACAGCTGCCTGATGCCGCAGTGTTAGGACTCTGCCCGGTTTTCAGGAGCTGCTTTGATGACAGCTCCTCCACCAGCGCACACAGGGAGCCCAAAGATATGACCCCACGGCCACGAAGCAGTCCCGAGATCACCCGTTTCAGGTCTTTCCCTCTTGAGCAGGGACAGCTCAAAGCCTGTGACTCACCGGAACGCGACCTGCGGGCTCTGGGGATTCACCAGCAGGCAATCCCAGGAGCGAGCGGGGCTGTTCTTGTAGAGGGCCACCCTGCCCTCCTCCCGCAGACAGGCGTGCCCGGCGTACTCCGCAGCCGGCACCTCCTTCACGCGGTACGGGTTCGTGAATATCTGGGTCACGGTGTTGAACGTATCCACCAGCCGCCCCAGGAACTGCAGCATCCTCCCGGAGCCTCAGGCGGCTTGTGCCGCGTGTCCTGGGGGAAATCCGGCTGCGGCGCCGCTGTGACCGGCAGCTCGAGCGG